TTAACTATTTGTCATGAACCTATTATAGGGTTCTTCAAGAGGCAGGTCACAATGACTTAACTACGTGTATATTTTAATCTCACAATGGAAGTGCAATGTACTGTATGTGTAACAAGTTCTAATTCAAGTATACAACTTTCCGATTGTTATTTATTGTGTACAGTGATAATTTTAAAGAATGTAGTATTGTCCACTGCTGTAACATTTTTTGACTTTTGTAAGCTTCTTTACAAATAAAAACAGTACAACAGAATTTGATGATTATTTATTCTCTTTGTGAAGACAATTACAATATTGATCAAATAAAGTGAAGAAGACTTGAAAATAATGCAGTATTCATTTGATGAACTTGATGGCAAGATTGATAATGGGTGTTGTATGAAAATAAAATACTTAACTGTAACGTTATTTTAGCCAAATTGTGTTACCAGTTTCTAAACACAGCACTGTCATTTAAAAATATTTTTGTTAGAATTTGTTTCACTTTATATGGCAAATGAATAAAATGAATATTTAGTGTTCTTTAAAATATTACCATGCAAATAACCCATGGGATGGCACACAAAGACGTATAGATCTCTTAAAATGTATTTGTGTTTAAGGAACTATTGTGATATTTAATGGCATGATTTGTATGAAATGTTTGAGTATGTGCATTAATAAGGAAATATCCATTCAAAACCTGATTAAAATTATTTGAATTTTGACATATTTCCTTGAATCTGCACATACATAACCTGTCGACTAAGGACATTTTATTGAAAGCAACCTGGGTAATGAAGCCATAAAGTAAATAAATATGTTTATGATATAGTGAAATTACAACAAAATATCTAAACAAGAGGAAAATTTCCAATTTATACCCTTTTTCCTGCCAGATTTATTCCCTATAACATTGTTGTTAGAATGTTTGAAGTGTGTGACATGATTATAATGCAGAATATGACTGAAGTTATAGAGCGGTAAAACAGTTGAAGAATTCGTTTATTACACATATATGAATAATAATTGTTGGCAGAATTTAAACACTATTTAAAAAAAAAAATATTACTACTTTATTTATTGAACCATTTAGTAATTGCTCCCAGTGCAGCATCTAGAGTTCTCAGAGCAGGATGGGTACCTCTATATAGAAGCAGCAAGGAACCAGCCTCACTTTCATAACCAGCTTCCTGAAGCTGATTTGCTAATTGTTCAACATATGACCGAGTAATTTCATCCTGATTGGTTTGCAGATATTCAAATAAGGCAGGATAATATGGAGTGTTCACAATTTTAGCACCAATTTTCTTTTCCAATACCAACTGAAATAACTCATCATCATAACTCTTTGGTCCAAACTGCAAAAATTAAAAGAAAAGAAAATATTGACTCTAATATGCAAAGCAGCTAATTAATATGCAAAATAATTCAAAAATCCTTTGTATACAATTATAATAATTTGTTATTGAGGACACTGTGAGTGAATGACCATGTTTATAAGGGCGTTTTTCATCATTCAAATTTCTGATCAAAAAATGTCATAATTGTCTAGAAGCAGACTTAAGCTCTATAATAAATGTGACGTGAACCTACCGGGTCAGACTTGTCATGATGATGGTACATTAGATGAATACATGCTGGATATAAATCGACATAATCTGATAAGAGTATAATTTTCATTGCACACAGCAACTGTTTCTCATGTACCATGAGAAAGTAAATATGCTCAATACACTGTAATACAAAGATATATTTCAATCTTTAGAAAAATAACCACAAAATACATGTATGTGTTACCTCCTTTATCCAATTATACATATATAGATTATAAACATCAGTCCTTTGTACCAATAATTCAAAAAATAAAATTACATTGGGGTCATTTCTTGTCTATATCGACAAATCTC